CACAATCTAAACAGGCAAAACAACGGTGTAAAAGACTCATAACCACTGATTTGAACCATAACAGACATTTTCCTATGGATTTTATGGCAGGCATCAGTACAGCAAATAGCCATCCTTATTTTTCACACAAGGAAGCAGCCAAATGTCACACAAGGCTGAGGGGGAATGTGCCCCAAGGAGCTTACAAGCTACATTTTGATGGAGAAAGAGGGATGGTACCTCTCCAATGTTCTTCCTCATAGGCTTTGTAAGACTAATAAGGGATGGATGCAAACATTTTCTCTCTTCTGTCGTTTCGAAGATGCCCCCCCCCCACTTCTTTTTGATCGCTGCTTTCCACATTTTCCTTTTCTGCAGTTCTTGTGGTTACACACAGGCCACAAAATAGGAAACTCTGCTGGTGGGAAAAGCCACCATGGTTTGTACTTCCTTAGGAAGCTGCAACCAAAACTTTGATGACTCAGGTAACAGCAGCCAGTAGGTCTATCCCCACTCCCCTGATCCCACGATTTCCTGTCCTGTTCTCAGAGCTGTTCTGCCAACAGCTCACAAGTCCCTTGATTAGTCAATGAACTGTCCTACATCACCATGTCTGTAAAATGGATGCATGTCTGTAAGATGGATAAGTCATCAGTGATAATGTCAACGTCCCTTTTCATAGGTGACCTCAATGACACTGCTCTAGGTTTCCAGTCTTAAGACAGTGATATTGAGGCAGGACTGAATTGTCATTTAGAAGATGAAGACAATTCATTTCCTATAACAGAAAATTCATTAACCACTATGATCCATTAGGTAGAATACCCAAGAATTAAACAGTTCTAAGTAGGTATTAGCCTCCTCTTCCATCCAAGCTAGATTTAGCAAGTGGGATTTCAACCAGTAAGGTCCAAACATAGATGAAATGAGTATCATACTTCAAGCAGACCCATTGAAATTGATGGACAAGTCATACCATGGCTAACTTAAAAGCCACTGACTTCCATAGCTTCACTCTAAGCAAGACCCAAGTCTGGATCCAACCCACTCTGCAGAGGTCACTGCTTCATTTGCAAAATGCTATGATAAGAATAATTCACATTCTCTAAGTTTTCCCTATCTGCCAGTCCAAGCCACCCTGTCTACCAACTGCTCCTGCTAGCAGCAGCATCACTGTAACTCATTAAACCTATGTGACCTTCCAGCTGTCAAATACCAGTCTGTTTTGATAAACCATCTAATTCATGTGAGAATTAATGTGGGAAACTAAATGTTTTAACTGGTAAGATTTAAAAAAGTATTCTGCTTTTGTGCTTAAAATACAACTCACTGAAGTTTAAGGAATGAGTTTGAGACCTTCTATCATAGGGTCAAAACACAGACATCTTAAAAGCTGCATGATTTTCAGCCACTTGCTTCCCACAGGAGTTACAAACACTTTGGTTTCCAGACCAATTTCAAGGAAAAGAAAAGAGTAGAAAAATAAGCAGAAAACTCTTTAGCTCATCCCAATTTCCATTCCAGAATTTCAGAGCAGGAAAACCATCTAAACCAGGCAATGTCTGCATGGTTGAAATTTTTCTATTATATGATCAGCCACAAAACAAACAATTCCAAGAGTCAGCAGCTAAGGATCTCTGAGCTTTCCACTTCCTTTCTTAAATCCACTTCAAGGGTTCAGAAAATGCAAAGCTGCAACTGAGAAGCCATCCCAGCCAGGTTTGCTACTTCTAAAAATAAAAAGTTGGGAGCACTACTTACAAGCAGCAAAAGGGAAGGTCCCTGTCTAGAGCCAATGTGAGGGCAGGAGCCGAGTAGTATGGCAAGTTCCACCACTATTGCCTGTTCCAGTTCAGCCCCCTCCTCCCTTCACCACAGAACTGTCAAGACACATTTATTCTGCCTTGCATCACACTGCCCTGCCTCAAATGTTCATCCTTGCTAGCTTAACACAGAAGCCAGTCCCCTCTTCATTCCAAATTTCTATAGTGGCCTAGTGACTGACACTCACTCACACACACAAGCACACATACCCACATGTCATGTAAGAGTGTGCAGCAACAGGCAAAGTTACACTGGTTTTATGATCCTTTAAGATGCTTTTGTTTTTGCAATTGTTCTTTAATGAGGCAACCATGTCCATCATGTTTCCCACCCTTTCTCTGAGGGGTTGAGGATAGCATACATAGATTTATTCCATTTTATTCTCCCAACAACCTCATATGACCATTTTTCCAGGCTTTACAATTTGATCATATACAGATTTATTCTGAATCCCATTGTTTTCAATGGGGCTTATTCCCAGGTGAGCGTGTACAGGATTGCAGCCTATAATACTTGAAAATGGATTTGGCTAAGTGACAATATTCTTCTCGAAGTGAGAGTAGGCATCTATGAACTGAAAGCTTCTTGGCTAAGTGGGGATTTGAAATCTGACCTCACTATTATTCAAGTCCAATGCTCTGTACACTACAGCATACCAGCTCTAAGAGTTCCAAGGCATGGGAAGTTAAGCTTATTAAGAGCATCTCTGAAACTGAACTGCAGCTATAACAAGTAGACAGGGCTCTCTACCAGAGACTTACTGTGAGTCTTTGAGAAATCATGGTTCTCTTTAAAATGGAAGTAAAGGAAAGTCTCCACAGCTTGCACTCATTCTAGTGCCCTGCTCCACCCAAAGAGCAAGCAAGTTACGACTCAGGTACTCAAAGCACTGAACTTTGCTTCCTCAGAATGCAACCATACATATAAAGTATTTATATCTGCTTAATTGTTACTTTTCTTAATATTAAGCTCTCAGCATCACAAGGCTGGCCACAAATGCTTTTCAAGGCAGCCCTTCAAGGTGCAGAAAAGAAGTCACTGAGTTCTCAATCATTTTAGTGCATTTGTTCTGTTTAGACAGCAATCCATGCCAACCAGCTGCTCCTAAGCTGTTCTGTTCTTGTACAAAATCCAGCCACAGAAGCGGGAGAGTCAGATTGCTTTAGAATTTGTCTCCCTTGCTAGGAGAAACCCCTTCAGCCTATAGTCCAAGTGTTTCTCCTTTCCAAAACTTTATGTTTTGAACTGAAAGGATCAGAGGCTCTTTTCATCCCTCCAGGGAAGACACATAGGTTAAGTATCATAACTATACAACAAAGAGAGGTAATGAGAAGCTGGCAATATAGACTAGAAGTCCTAAGCTGCTTGCTCTCTAAAAATTAAGGTTTATCTATCGGTCTCGGGGGATGCAGAGGAGAATGTATGTGCGTGTGTGCATATCATACTGCCAATCTCATGTTTTTTCTTTGTGTTAGGGGATGGAGATTGTTTTTCTGCAGGCATTTGTTCTAAGTGGCAGAAACCCAAGATTCCCAGCATTTTAGGGAAACTGTGGTGTTCTATGGCGACTGACAAACCACAAACCACACTCTGTCGTTGTTAGACCCAAAGATAGAAAGCCCCTCCCCTGCTCCTTTTTGAAGTGTCTTTGTGTTCTGCCTCCACCAAGACCAAGCTCTTTCTTAGGGGCTTGGTGGCTAAGCAAGGTTACTCCTATAATTCCACAGAATTATCTACCTCAGGGGACCAGGGCAGGAACAGCAGAACAGACAGTACAAGAATTCAACCACCTCCTCCTCCAACAGCTGCATTTTAAATCTCTCCTTTGCTATTCTGTCCATTCAGCACAATATGCTGGATCCAGGGGCTGTAAAAGTGTTTTTGAATGCCTGCATCTTCACCCAGTAGCCACATCCTCTTACAAGATCCAGAATCTAACACGTAGGTAGGTGTCTCCAGATTCATTAGACTCCAAATTCCATTAACCTTAGCCAGCTTGCCCAATGTAAGGGATTATGGGAGCTGTAGTCAAAAACATCTGAAAAGCACCAGTTTGCCTGCTCCAGAAGAAACCTGCTTCTCCTACTACAGCAAGAAGTGGAACTCCTGTTTTAATAATGAGAAACCAAAACCACTACCAAATGAGAAGGACGTACTCAGAAGTGAAGGTATATTTAATGCTCAACGGTATTAAGGGAAAAAAAGATCTCAGCTCAAGACAACTTAAAGACTAAAATTCAAAAATGCGAAGAGGGAAGAAAGATGAGAAATAGCACAAGGGATGGATGGGGGCAAATGCAGTTAAACTTCAAGAGCACAGCTAACCAAGATCTCTGATGCCATCAGCACTTCAACATCTGAAAGGAACGCTAGACTGAAAACTGAATACACCCACTGCCAGCCTCTTCAGTTAGTTTCAAGCGCATTCCTGCTTTTTAGCAAACTCCCCAACCCATGAAGCTCAACACGCAAAAACAAGACAATACCCGTGAGATTGGGGCGGGTGGGGGAAGCTTGAAAATTCTCAAGTAAAGCAGACTAGCCCACCAGCTCTCTTAAGCATTTAAAAGAATACATTTCAATGCTTTGACTCCCATCATTCCTGTGATGCTTGGGGATGACGGGAGTTATAGCCCCAATACATCTGGAGGGCACCAGGCTGGGAGGAGGCTGCTTTAAGCCAACAAGAGAAGCATTAGGAGTCCTGCAGCCCCCCCACCCCCGTTACCCCTCGACGTCTGATGGCATAAGGCCCATCCCACCACTTCTGCAAGAGGAATGTTACGTTCTTCCACCCAAAAAGGAAAGTTCTGACCGGCTCCCTATGGAGTCTAGTTCGAAGCAGCAGCTCAGGAACAAGGAGGCAGCCCCCACCCAAACGCACCTGGGGAAAAAGCAAAATGGGATCCACCCAGCCCTTTAATGCAAGCTTGACAAGGGAGCTCCGGGGCAATACGACTGCACAGTCAAATCAAATCTTTTCTCTTTTTCCGGATTTTTTAAAAGTCCTTTTTACAACAGAGAAACGAGCCCACTTTCCGAGCAACTCCTTCACATTCTTCCCCTTCAGTTTCCACAAGGAATGAAGGGGGAGGGGTCACCAAGAGCAGTAAGAGTAGAGCCCTCCAAAAGAGATGACCTTCCATACAATTCAAAAAAGTTGAGAGAGAGATGTATTCATTATCATCTCGCCTTACCTTTGTCCTTTTTGTTCTCTTCCTCCTCCTACAATCGCGCAGCCCTTCCGTGAGTGCTAACTAAGCAAGTTTTACTTCTTCCCTTGAAGGTTTAAAACAAGAGAGGGAGAGTAAAGGAGAAAGGAAAAAAGGCAACGTTTTTTCTCCAGGCAGGCTTTTGTCGCCGACCCAACCGCTCCTCTCGCAATTCCTTTAATCATTCAGGTTGACAACTTCGCACAGACTGCTTTGGACCAGACGGCTTTTTGTCCCTCTGCAAATGCAAGAAGAGAACAAAATAAGCATGCAGTTTCCGAAATGCATCTAAAAGCGAAATCACTGTCAAGAAAGGCATTAAAACAGACACACACAGACGAAGAAAAGACGAAGAAAAGCAAGGCGGCGAGGTACCAATCCTTTCCCCACCTCCTTTTCCTGCGGGACCTTTCTCTCGCTTCCCCCCCCCCTCGCTCAGCTCCAACACCTAAAATGGAAGTTGCACCCAGCCAAAGGCAAAGCAGGCTGGGTGGTGACAAACTGTATGTTCCAGCCCAACCCCTCTTTCCCTAAGTGATGTCAGCTTCTGCACGGCTCCAATGGGAGGCAGGCATCAATCAGGGAGCTCGTGCTATCCAATAGGAAACTTCATTGTAGAGATTTTTTTTAATTGAAAAAAAGACAAAAAGGGGGAATAAAACCACATTACGAGTGGAAATAGAAGGAAAGATAACTTTAAACGCTATCAACAAAAACAGGTTTCCGCTAAAAGATACGGGCATCATCCTTCACTTTACAGGATTCGTTCCCATTCCAATTGAAAGAGCAAACCTTCCAATGATTCCCATCCTTTGCCTGTCTAGATTTTATTCCCATTCTTTACCGATCTAGTTTGTAAACGCTTTCACAACACCGTTACAGTCCTACTCTGTGCATGATTGCTTTGAAGTAAGTCCTGCTAAATTCGGTGAGACTTACTTCGTAGTAAGCGTGCAACGAAATTATAGCTGTTCTCTCGCAATCCAGTGGGACTTGTTTCCTGGAAAGGCTGCGTTTGGATTTGCAACCGTATGCTTTCGGTTGCTCTACTGTCCTCTTTCTCTTTTCATTCAAGCGCTCCATCTCTGGAAGGGTGGAGAGAATGGCCACTGCCTATAACAAAAGGAATGCGATTTTAAAGTCTACCTTGATTATGTTGAGACTAACATTAGGCAAGACCAGATTATGCGATTTGCAATCAAGTCTCCACTAGAGGAATTTGCCCTCAACTGACAAGCTTGAATGTAATTAACAAAATAAATTCAACTCTAAAATAAGTAAGGAATTTACCTCCACTCCCCACCCCCATCTTTCTTCAGTGAAAAAACAGATTCTTTTCTTTGTCTTTCTGATTAGATTGAGTTTGGAATTTACACAGTACAATGCTGGCACTGATTTTGCTTGTGGCTTCAATACTGCAATTCTAAACACGCAGCACAGTCCTGTGCCTGGTAACTGGAAAATGAATCCCACAAAATACAGTTTTAATGTTGTTTGTTGCCCATCGACCCTGAGATATAAAGGTTGAAGTAAATAATGGTGCTTATTCCTAAATAACTGCATCAAATATTTCCACTATGTCAGTTTGACAACTTTGCACAAACAGTTTTGGACCAGATGCCTTTTTGTCCCTTGCAAATGCAAAAGAAAGGGCAAACAAAATAAGCATGCAGTTTCCTAAGAAAAATGTTGAAGCATCTAAAAAACAAAATCAACCAGTTTGGAAATACTGTATTGAAATTAATGGGACTCACTTTTCAGTAAAGCAGTTGACTGTATTTTAATAGCATCTTTCTGAGTTCAATCAGGGCGATTTATTAAAAATTCAAAACAAAGGACAGCTTCACATAAAAACATAGTATAATATAAAAATAAAATCCGTAACAATTTTACAAGCCATATTTCCTGAATGCACATAGCATGTGGGCATGTTGTAACTCTAACACTGACCACAGGAATAAAACAAAAGAATGCCATTTTGCAAGATGCTAAGGCAAATAGGAGGCAGTAACAAATTGGATATTGTTATTTGCAATGATTACAGTTAAAATTGACAATTAGGCTGTGGTGTTAATCACAGTAGGATTACTTCTGAGTAAATATGCTTAAGATTGCACTGTTAATGAATTGCCTGCAGGGCTTGTTATATCTTGGGTTTATATGACTCTAGGCTTTCTAAAGTATAAAGTGAGCATAAGATCATATAAGTGAGCATAAGATCATAAGAAAAGTTGTGCTGGATTAGACCAATGGCCCATCCAGTTCAGCATTCCATTCACAGGAAGACAAACCAGCTGTACACAAGATCCCTCAAGCAGGATGGGCGCAAGACAAACCAGCTGTACACAAGATCCCTCAAGCAGGATGGGCGCAAGACCTCGGCCTGTCCCAGCTCCATAGCAACTGCTGCACGCAGGCATGCTCCCTCTGGTAATGGAGGTAGCGCATAGCCACAGATAGCTTCTTCCTCTATGGTTGAATTCTGTTAGTTCAGGCCCTTTAAGGTACAGATTTTGATATATGTGATCAACAGAATGAACAAACACAATAGAAAGTTCCATTTGTTATTATTTATTTCATTTCTATACTGTCTCACAGCTGAAGCAATAAAGAAATCTGTGGTTTATAAAGGGTTCCTAAGACTATATATGGGATAAATTCTTGTTGTTCTCCCACCTATGCAGAAAATTTCCAGTTGTGTGGTACATTTGAGGTAAAAGTTGGGATTAAATTAGATTCTTATCCATTGTGTTATCAGTCGCATGACATTTTATGAAACCAAAGGTATTCTTCAGACCTAGATTTTCTAGACAGCCCTGTTTTTGGCAAGAATCTAACGCTACGCCCCCTTTTGGTACAGAATCTGTATTACTCAACACAGATTTTGTCCCCATTATTCTCAGCATGGTTTCTTTGATGGAAGTGTTCATGGTCCACTATGCAATGTCATCCTCTCGGTCTGTTATCAATGGCTGCTAGTCACAATGGCTATATACGACCGCTGGATACAGTGTGAAGTGCTTGTTCCGAGGAGCACAGGTGGCAGTGGGCCGCAGCACTCCTGGCCTGCTGGCAGACTCCCTTCAGTTTCAGCTCACTGCCCAACTCTGGAGGGGAAGGAAAGGAGGCTGGGGCACTGGCAGGATACCATGGCAACACCAGCCTATTCCCCTTTCCTTCCCTCCCCATCCCTTAAGAACACCCCCCAACCCCTTCTTTGGGGTCGCTTTTGCAACCTCAAAAAAGCCTAGTTCTTTTTATGTTGGTTTCTGTGGGCAGAGGAGGATCCAAGACCAGATCCCCAGTGATTAACATCAGAGCTGGGAATCTGATGTTCCTAGCTGCCTAGGAAGGCCTCTGCAATTATAGACAGCCTATAAATAATACATGTATGTATGAATGAATAAATAAATGTTAATCACGATGAACCCATGGACCTTGAGATACTGCCTAGAATCTCTCTGCCCATACAAAAGTTATATCCCATCTCCCTTCAGAAGGAGCTAAAGAAAGATTACATTTATGTTGCATTTCTATTCACATTTCTATCTCATTGCACAACTTTGATTCACAATTTGTGAGCCAGTGTGGTGTAGTGGTTAAGAGTGCTGGAGGAGATCTGGGTTCTAGTACCCGCTCAGCTGTGCAGCCAACTGGATGACTTTCGGCCAGTCACAGACTTTCAGCTCAGCCTACGTCACAGGGTTGTTATTGAGAGCTGGAGGAGAATGATGTAAACTGCTTTGAGTTCCTTGGAAGGAAAATAAATAAATAGTTTACCACTGTCATGTGGGATAATCAACATACATGCATGTATTTGATCATGGTGACTCACATGCGCATTGATTGTTGGACAATGATGTATATTTTCCTACAAAATTAACTACATACACACAAATGTAGGTCGCTATGCTTTTACAAGTGAAGATGAGCATGAGGTTGGCTATATGTTTCAGCTGTTGAAGCTGAGTAGGTATACTTTGAGGGGCTTCCTACCTTGTCCCTCCTGCCCCAAATGACTGCTTTGGCTGCCTGCCCCTAATTCTAGCCCTGAACCAGGGGAGAACGGATGAGTGATGGGTGCCATGCAGCAGGGTGCTTTCATCAGGACTGCAGGTACGTGCCCTCAGCTGTGCACACAGCTGGAGTCAAGGGCTGGATGCTTGCTGAAGGCTTTGTAGTCCATCACGTGCCCGCTGACAAGATCCCCAGGACGTGCTCCTCCTCCTCACAATGGCAACCTGCTCGTTCACTTGCTTCTTGCTCTAGCCCAGACAGCAGAGATGGCGAGGAGCAGCGGTGGGAGCCACCAGCCGCCACAGCCAGTGCACTTACTCCGTCTCTGCCAGTACATCAACCAAGTGACGGCAACGATGGGGCACTGGAGTGGCTGCACTAGTAGCGAGTGGCGATGGTGATGAGAAGGGGGGAGTCTGCCCTTGCGAGGGCCTTGTCCAAGGGCTCTCAAAAGCTGGAGCCAGGACTGACTGTGCCCATGTCAGAGAGCCCAGAGCAAGAACCCACACTCCTGTGATAGGGCCACCAGTCTCATCTTCCACAACCAGGCTACAGGTGAGAGGCAGAGTACTAAGTTCAGAGGCACATGGCAATCTCTCTGGGCAGCAATGTTCCCATCAGAAAAAGCAGGCACACAAGTCTTGTTCCAAAGCATTTCAGTGTTCACACTGCTATTCTATACCCGCTTTCCTTGGATAAAGTATGACTACACCCACTGTGGCCGGCTTTAGAATAACATGAATTAGACTGCTTTTTAAAAATAGCTCTGGGGGAAACTCTGTGCATGGAAACAGAACGAGTCAGAAGGGGCCTCCCAAGCCATCTAGTCTGACCTCTGGCACCAGCCGGCTCCACTCACGACATGCCCACCATGTGCACGTCCAGCCTATCCTTTGCTTAGGTGACATCTCAGTCACCTGAGCAAAGGGTGGCAGTGCTAATGATTATCATGCACATGCCTCAGACACTTTATTGTAGGCTATAAATGTGGCCAAGGAGAAGTTAAAAGACGGGTCTGTGCTACAATTTCAGTGCCAGTTTGCAATATGTACAGGTTACAGTATATGCACATAAGCAGAGTCTATGTTAGCTAGGTTCACCATAAAACTAGGTGATACTCATTAGAACATGGATGCAGACCTGGCACAGGCAACTGTGGTAAGTTTCCACAAGCATCCAGGCTATTTTTCATAATTCGATCATTTATTCCAGATCAATTATTAGAACACAAAGAACATGAAACAACATGCAGAGTAAGAAAGATGATACTTTCCCAGTAGTGCCCACTTTGCACCCAGATAATGAGCTGATCATTTTTCCTGTGTTTATTGCAGATGCTGGAAGAATAGCTCTGAGCTTGCATTAATGTGATAGAACAAGATCAAGGAACACCCATAGAACCTGTAGTATGGCTTAGGCATAATCTTTCCAGAAATTTA